ATCCTACTAAAGATTAGAGAACTTACTGTCATTTCCTTTGCATACCCAAAGTAACCCAACTCCTCCTCCTGAAACAAATCCTTTAAATCTGAAATTTAGGCATGAAGAGAAGAAAAAGAATCAAATTTGAAACGTTAAACCCTGAGGAGAAAAAGATCCTTATGTCTGAGAGAGCTGTTATTCACATCATATATAGGAGAAGCATACATTTCCTTCTTTTGCGAAGAGGAACATCTAGCAGCCTGTAGTAGAATTGTCAAATTAGAATTTTATTTTCATTTGAAAATAACAGAATCAATGCGATTATACTACAATAAAAATGAAAGAAGAAAGTATAATGTTCTCTACAGCCAGATTTGCATTCAACTGTCCATGTTAAGTAACCAAAAACGTTGTCCATATCAATTTGCCAAAAGAGCTAAAATTGATCCAGGCAAGATCCAAGGTACATACTGCTCTCCATTAGCAAACATGACATCGAAAAGAAACACGCAAATGTCAACCTGCAACCACAGTCAGTACATGAGATATTAAATTACTAAACCAAAGGTGGCAAAACAAAAGACAGACAGATACAATAATTGAATTTATTATCAGAAGTAAACACGTTTAGCTGTTAAAAGAAAAAAGGAAAAAGAAAAAAAAGAAAATTCAGGCACTGTTTAGTCATAGAAAACTCAAGTTTTTGCTTTCTAAATTCCTCTATATTTGTACAGAAAATATAAGTAGTTTCTGAAAATGGAAACATGATTTGTGAAACTTTATGTAATGATTTTAAAACAATAAAATTGTTAGCATATTATAAAATATTTTCTAACATGATAGTATTATTATATTTCCAAATATGTAAGGTTAATTAGGAAGAAAATTATTAGGATAATTTATGTTGATTATTATATATGAATCCATCTACATGTATATATATCCCTCCTTTTGTTTCAATAAAACATAAGAAAATATTCAGTATCCCTTTCCCTAATTCTTACATGATATCAGAGATAGGGTTAGGGTTTTAGGAGCCAAATTTCATCAGACCAAAAAAAAAATTAAACACCCATTCTCGGCACCGGAGGAAGTTGACCAACGATCTCCGACCAGTTCAAAGTGCGGCCATCATGATGGTGTACGCAGGAGAAGCGGAGACGGTGGTTTGCGTGGCAGTTTGAGGCTGTCTGCGTTGGGTTTGCCGGAGGAGGGTATTTCTGTGCGGTTTGCTTTCTCGTTCGAGGATAGAAGAAATAAAAGGGCTCGGTCGACCGGCTCTATGCACGAAACCAGAAGGCCGAAGAAAGAAAAGCGCGGCAAAGCAAATCGCACGACAGAAAGCGATTTTTCGATCTCCAGCCTGATTTCGGCTGTTTCTGCAAGTGCCATTCCAGATTAGGGCTGACATTGGAGTTCTATGGTGATTTCCGGTCGAATAGAGGTTATTTGGTAATTTCAGAAGGCGGTGCATGTAACTCCAGCAGCGGTGGCGCAGATCTCCGGTGGTTGACAGTGAGGTTCTAATAGGGTTATTGATACTCGTACGTGAAGAGGTACTCTATTTTCTCAAATTTTTTGGTATATTTGCAATGTTTTTGGTGTATCTCTAGCAGCTGTATTTGGATATTTTTGAGTGACAATTTGTGGATATTCTCAAGATAAGAATGAGTGAAAACAAGTTTTCAGTGAGTGAAATAGTCTCAACCATGTCAAGATCACTGAGCATAAGTTAAATGATACAAATTATTTGAAGTGGAGCAAAACTATTAGGGTTTATGTACGCAATATTGATAAGGATGATCATTTAAGT